ATTTCATTTTTTCAATTTTTTATTTTTATATATTTTTGCCGGTTCGGTTTGGTTTTAAACCGCAATTGAAATTCTCAAACCTAAATCAAATCATTTTGACCGGCTTGGTTTGGTCCAAAACTATTTCGTTGACCAGGTCCATGTCGCACCAAACCGACGGTTTCTAAAATGTGATTTCGGTTCGATTTTTCGATTTAGCGATTTTTGCTTACAGTCTTACAAAAAACTGCCTCGAACCTGCCCCGTCCGAGCTCGCCCCGAACACCCGTTGCCTTCTATTGAAAATGTTCTGTTGGTAGATAACCTTAAACATGATTTACTAAGTATTAGTCAATTGTGTGACAAAAGTTACGACATTAAATTTAATTCTTCCAAATGCCAAATTAAGGATACTACATCCAAAGAGGTGATTTTTGTAGGAAGCCGACATAAAGATGTTTATATCATAAATATTGAACATAGAAATGATGAAAAAAATTTACTAAGTCTGAAAGAAGATACTTGACTTTGGCATAGGAGACTAGGACATGTTAGCATGGACCTTCTCTCAAGAATTTCAAAACATTGCATTGTTAAAGGATTGCCAAGCTTGAAATTTGAAAAAGAAAGAATTTGTGAAGCCTGTGATTTGGTAAACAAGTAAAAAGTTCTTTCAAACTAAAAATATATTCTTCAACTACAAAATATTTACAACTTCTCCATATTGATCTTTTTGGACCATCTAGAACCGCAAGTTTAGGTGGAAAAACATTATGCTTTTGTTATAGTTGATGATTTTTCTAGATACACTTGGGTCATATTTTAGAGCAAAAAAGATGAAGTACTAAAATTTCTTAAGAATTTTTGTAAGAATGTCCAAAATGAGAAAGGATATTCTATAATTTCAATTAGGAGTGACCATGGTGGAGAATTTGATAATGTCGCCTTTGATGATTTTTATAATGAAAATGGATATGAACATAATTTCTCAACTCCTAGAACTTCTCAACAAAATGGTGCAGTAGAAAGGAAGAGTCGCACATTGCAAGAAATGGTTAGAACCATGCTAAATGAAAAATATCTACCAAAATATTTTTGGGCCGAAGCCGTAAACACCGCTTGCTACATTGTTACTAGAGTTTTAGTTAGTCGAAAGAAAACTAAAACTCCTTGCGAACTTTGGAAAAACAAAATTCCTAATATTAGTTACTTCAAAGTTTTTGGTTGCAAATGTTTCATTTTAAACACTAAAGATAATTTGGGAAAATTCGACTCAAAATCCGATATTAGTATTTTCCTAGGATATTCATCGACTAGCAAAGCTTAAAGAGTATTCAACAAATGAACTCTAGTCGTTGAAAAATCCGAACATATCTCATTTGATAAAACTAACATCCTTGATCGTGAGAAAAATGATGAAGAAAGAGAAGAAAAATCAACGGATGCTCAAAACGACTCTACACTACCAAATGAATGGATGTTCGTCCCATCTCATCCAAAGGAATTGATAATAGATGATCTCTCTAAAGGTATTACTACTAGAAATTCTCTTAGAAATCATCTTAGAAGCTGTGCTTTTCTTTCTCAAATTGAACCTAAGGACTTCAAAGAAGTTGAGTTTGATGAATTTTGGGTTCTAGCAATGCAAGAAGAGCTAAATCAATTTTAAAAAAATAATGTTTGGAATTTAGTTGTAGACCTAATAATCAAATTGTGATTGGAACTAAATGGATATTTAGAAACAAACGAGATGAAGATGGAAACATTGTGCGTAACAAGGCTAGATTAGTGGCCCAAGGTTAAAATCAAGAGGAAGGAATGGATTTTGAAGAAACTTTTGCACCGATAGCTAGATTAGAATCCATTCATATGCTTCTTGCATTTGCTTGCTACAAAGGTTTTACATTATACCAAATGGATGTCAAAAGTGCATTTTTAAATTGATATTTTCAAGAAGAGGTCTTTGTTGAATAGCCTATCGGTTTCAAAGATCACAAATATCCAAATCATCTTTTCAAATTTAGAAAAGCACTTTATGGCCTAAAACAAGCTCCTAGGACTTGGTACGAACATTTGAGTAAATTTTTAAATTCAAATGGTTTTTCTGTCGGAAAGGCTTATACCACACTTTTTATAAAAAATTATAAGAATGACATACTTATCGTTCAAATTTATGTGGATGATATTATATTTGGTGCCACTAACATGTCTTTGTGAAGAATTCTCTAAAAGCATGAGCAAAGAATTTGAAATGAGCATGATGGGAGAATTAAAATTCTTCCTCGGTTTGCAAATTAAAGAAACTTGTAATGGAATCTTCATAAATCAAAGCAAGTATTTGCTAGAGATGCTCAAAAAAATCGACATGGATGGGCTAAAACCAATGAACACTTCCATGAGTTCAAAAATTAAGCTCGACAAAGATGACCAAGGTACTCCTATTGATGTGACTAAATATCGAGATATGATCGGATCTTTTCTGTATTTAACCGCTAGTAGACCTGATATTATGTTTAGTATTTGTCTATATGCTAGATTTCAATCTAATCCTGAAGAATCTGACCTCAAAGTCGTTAAAAGAATTTTTAGATATCTTAGTGGAACTAAAACGTTAGGTCTTTGGTATCCAAAAGGAACTCACATTGACTTACTTAGCTATTCGGATGCCGATTGGGCTGGTTGCACTATTGATCGCAAGAGTACTAGTGGAACATGTCACTTCTTAGGCTTCGCACTAGTCTCATGGTTTAGTAAGAAACAAAATTCTGTTGCTTTATCCACAGTCGAAGCCGAATATATTTCCGTCGCTAGTTTTTGTGCACAAGTATTATGGATGAAACAAACACTTAAGGATTATCATTTGTCTTCTAATCTTGTACCTATTATGTGTGATAATACTAGTGTCATAAATTCGTCTAAAAATCCTATATTGCATGCACGAACAAAACACATTGAGATTAGACATTATTTTCTTAGAGATCATGCGCAAAAAGGTGACATTGCTTTAAAATTTGTCAATACAGAAAATCAATTGGCCGATATCTTTACTAAACCTCTTGCTCTTGACCATTTCACACACATTCGTACAGGTTTAGGAATTGTTGATGAAATTGAAATAAAAAATTGATGTTATGACTATTTTGCTCTTTTTATTTAAAAAAAAAAAGTTTTTTGGATGAGTTTATCGAACGCGTCCGATACTTACCAGACAACTATAATGGACCGTCCTCTAAATCATCCGGTTCAACAGAAATTTTTTTTTTTGCTATACCGGATATCCGGTACATTATACTGGACATCCGATAGACTGAATCTGACATTTTAAAATCGCGAACATGATCATTTTCTTCTCACTTTTTTCTTCCTTTCTTCGTCTCCTTCACACTCGTCACTACTCTCCACTCCAAATTCCTCATTCCACTCTTCTAATTCTTCAATTTTTACGTAACCCACTTCCTTCAGTCTTGTTTCCATATCAAAATTTTGAAAAATGGCAAAATTTCTCTCCTTTCCCCAATCTCGTGCCCTAACTCTCGTTTTTATATTTTGCTTCAATTCAAACAATGCCAAGAACAAAGCAAGCTGGAAAAAGGGCAAAAACTACGGAACATCGGCCTCCAACGCCCTCTCCGACGAAGAAACGAATTTCGAACCGAAGAGGCGATGAACCCATTTGAAAAATCTCCCATTCTACAAGGTAAAAATGTTGATTTTTCAACTTTTTCTATTGAAGCATATGCTTTTCACATTCAAGAATTTTTTGAAAAAATAGGGTGGATTTCAGTATGTTCGTTGGAAGAAAATGCTTACCCTCAACTCGTGAAAATCTTTTACACAAAAATGGCTATTACACCACGTTCCGATAGTATTTCTTGTCTAATTAAAAATGTAAGGATCACCATTACTAAAGCTCTTATTCGTGAAATTCTTAGGCTCGAACCATGTGATACGCAAGTTTTTGTTCATAAAGTTCACCTGACCTTAGAAGGTTATAACCCAAGTGACGCATGTCGTCGTTTGACGGGAAAGATTTTGAAAACATCACAAAAATTAGTGCTAATCAACTCACTCAACCTTGTAAAGTATTGCAAAATATCATCACAAATATTATCTTACTTAGAAAAGGACATTGAGATGAGGCAAATTACTTTGATTTGTTCATTCTCGATTCATTTCTCGTTGGCCGAAGGTTAGGTTTCCCAACAGTTGCTTTAGGTCTTATGAAACTTATCCACACTTCTCATTATTTCAAAGCTTTGCCCTATGGTATTCTTTTAACAAAAATTTTCGAACACTTCAATGTCTTTCTTTAGGTTGAAGCCGTCATCAAACCTCGTCCCACCGATACAACCAAAATTCAAACCCTCAAGCATGTGAAAATCTTTAAAACTCAAGGACAATGGGCGGCTTACACTAAAGGCTTTGACCCTGCCTCGGGTCCTTCCACATTACCGTTTGAGGATGAAGAAGAAGCCGAAGAAGACGTCCTATTACTCTCACATCCACCACTGATTAGTACCTCTTCATCTTCTTCTCGAGGATTCACTTTTACCGAGGATCAGTATAATTTACTCATCGGGCTTCTTGACTCTCGCACGACTTCAATTGATGGGCTTAGTGGTGTTCTTCAGTGTGTCCAGTCACAGCAGGCCGCAATTCAGGCTCGGCAGGATGCCATTCTTGCACAGCAATCTGAAATGCAAGCTCAATAGAATGCATTCTATGCTCACTTTTACGCACATTTTCCTCCACCACCTCCTCTGGAGCCTTAGCTTTTAGTTTTATCATTTATCTTATGCATTTTTTTTGACTCCCGAACTCATTATGACTATATCTTTTGGCATTTTGATTATGATGTTATGAACTTATGTCTCTTCTCTTGTTTGTCAATTTTTTGATTATGCCAAAAGGGGGAAAATTATACATAAATAATATGCATGATTTATTATATGAGATGATATGCATGTTTATATGAAATGATATACATATGAGACGGTATGCATGATAGGAATGCTTAAGCAATGGGGAATACACGTGCAAAAGATAGGGAGGATTATTTTGTTACTTATAATTTTTTTTTTACTTATTAAATCTCCATCATATCCTGTTTGTCATAATCAAAAAGGGGAAAATTGTTGACCAACGGTTGACTTCTCGTTTTGATTATAACAAAAAAAATTTATTTAACAATTGTATTTGAGTGATTATAGAAGTTTATGACAAGCGTGGGCAAAATGATGCTTTTGGAGCTCTTGCAAAATTGGACAAAGCAGAAACCAAGCTACACATCAAGACAACGGGCACTTCATCAAGTCAAACAAAGAAGAAATTAGAAGAAAATAGATTTAGACACCTTGATTTCAAATGTTAAGCTAAAACACTTTAGTATTTGGCATATACGTCATTTGAAGCTCAACAAACGTTTCTTCGCAAGACAAACACAATTTTTGCATAAAGAAAAGCATGAACCTATTATATACTTTAAGAAATGTCAAAAAGTCTGTAAAACATGTTAGAAACATCATTCATGAAATTACATGTTAAATTATTTAAAGAAGTAAAATTTCCAAACACGAGCTGATCTAGAGGACACATTCGATAGCTAAAGGACGCATCCGGTAGGTCTAGCGGACGTTCGGTATGACAGGTTTGTCCAATGGTCAAGAAATTGAACGTTCTGACTTCTGAACAAAAAACGGTTATTTGATCGTCCGGTAAGCTAGCGGACGTCCAGTATCCTCGTTCGATAGAACAAAACTTTTGACCTTTTTGCTGCTATAAATACCAGAACATTTTGCATTCAATGTATGACTTTCATGAGCATTTAAAGTGAGATATTACTAATCTATCTACTCAATCATCTTTATATATATTTATTGCTTCAACCTATTTATATTAAAAAAACCTTTGATTGATTCAACTTTTGGAAATCATTTTTATCAAAGTGTTTCTTATCTAACACTTGAGCTTCAATCATTGCTATCTACAAAAGTGTTAGCCATCTTCTCTTGTTGTATTCAAGTTCAATTATATCATTTATTGCAAGAGAAGTCTTCACTTGTATACTTCTCATTTTTCAAACTTGTGGGCCGAGTTGAAGTCCCAAAAATTTCAACATTATAAAGGAACGGTGCTACTTGGTTGTAAGTCATCGAAAGCATTATAAGAAGGTTGGATTGCACCATAAGTCAATCAATATAGTGAAAAAGGTTTTGCTCGTGACGGAGAGTTTGGTAATGGGGGACATAGATCATTGCATTGAATCGAACCTCCATATAATATCGTTTGACTTCTCTTTCCTTTTACTTATTCTTGTTTTTATTTAATATTTGTGAATTTATCTTAGTCTTCTTTCCTTTTCATATTTGACTAATTGCTACATTTAAGTGAGAATTAATTGTACATTTAAAACTATTTTGAAAAATTACCATAACCAATTCATCCCCCTCTTGGTTAGCTAGTCTTGGGCTTTCATAAACAACATAGAAAAGAGAATAGAAAAACTAATTTTGGTAGATTTTCGATCTCCTTTGTGAAGTTTTTGATTTTTTGATGATTGCTTACTTCTTGCCCGGTTGAATTCTAGTTGAAAAGTGGTCATTAGGGTTACATTTATATCATTATGAAGTCTTGGGAGAGTTAGGGTTGGATTAGGTAAAGAAAAGAGTTCAAAAAATTCAAAATTATTTTTCTCACGCGCAACGTCATGCCCGTGGCGCTGCGGTGCCTCGATGCTATTGATTTTCAACAATAGTGGCGCTGTCCACTTTCGGGGTGGGAAAACAGCACTAATGTATCCTTCAGTATTTTTATCATAATTTCTTTTCCCAATATCCGATTGAACGATTTAAAATGTGTTGGAAAGATAATTCAAAGGGCTACAACTTTACTTCAGATAGCTTTTTTCAATTTGAACGTTTACTATATCAAAAATTGGTCTTAATCTCTAGCTAAAAGTGTAGAATATACATATGTGGTTGAAAATTGATTTGTGAAAATATTTTGATCATATTTCACCCCTTTTCGACTTTTAATTGCATCCGGATGACTCTAGCAATTTTCAATTATCATTTTGTGGTCCGAATCAACTATTGAAAAGTTGCAATTGAGTCCTCAAATTTTGGATTCACCATTTTTCGTCGTTATTCTTTTCTTTCTTTTAATTTAGCCTCTAATCATCAAGTTTCACCAAATTAACTTCTCCTTGATTCATGCCAACATCACTTTTTTCTTCAAGTTTTACACCATTCACACCAATTCATCAAACTTATAAAACAACATTAAGACACATATTAAAACGTCCTAAAACTATAAGAATTAAACGAAATATCAAGATTAAGTAGCATTAATATAATGAGTGAAACACACTCATCATTTGTCCCGTGATAATGTCCTTTTTTTAATCTAACCTTAACGTGTTTAACTTTTGATTTTGAGTTGAGTTCTACATCTCCTTTGGTATCAGAGAATCAATTTGATGTTGTATAACCTAATATGCTTCAGCTTCTTGATGTGATTTTGTTTCTCATCCTAATAGCATTTAGTGATCTAATGTTTACCTCTCAGCCTTGCATTGGTCTATTCAGGATCTTGACCTGAGAAAGCCTGGAATTTGCAAGCCCTACAAAAGGAATGAGTTTGAAACGACATCAGAGGAAGTTTTACGTAAAGCTGATTTCAGGGTGTGGATTTTTATGTTAATCATAAATCTTATTTCTGTTGAGAATTTGTACGTGTAAATGTGTGCGATTGATGGCTGGTATAAAATTTGGACTTTATATCAATTTTTCTTTTCTGTTTTACTGGAGTGTGGTAAAGTTTTCTACAGAAGCTCCTGTTCATGAGAGTGATGTGTTTTTGGTGGAACATGTCAGAACAGGGAGGGATGAACAAAAAATAACATATCATGTGGTAGTTGCTAAGCATTTAGTTTCTTTAAATCTTAGAGCATGTTTGGGAAACAGTCCAAGCATACACTTAGTGTAGTTTAGCAATGATCCGAACATAGTAAAGGAATAGGGTGGGGTGTGGAGCTTTGAGTTTAAGAAATAATGAGGAGGAAGAAATGAAATTTTAAGATTCTGAATGAACTTACATCTTAATGCTACATATCTTGCTGATCAAGATTGCTGCATTTGATTTTTGCTTCAATGTGATGAATTTGTTCATTATTGGCCACGATTTAACTTATCATTAGATTTTTAGCCCCGATACTCTTGAATTCATAAGAGACTTTTGATGTAATGAAATAGCGCCTATTTAAGGGATAGGAAGTTGCAATTGTTTTACTTCATGTGGTTTATTGTTGTCATCTTACTCAGTTTCCATATAGTTTTGGATGCATATGTTGATATTGATAGTCAATTATTATTATTATTATTATTATTATTCGCTCTCCTAACTTTCGTCTTTCAGTGTCAGTGTCAGCCCAGCAAAGTGCTTTCACTGTTGGTGTTTATTGTGTTAAAGGAGCTTTAAATTGAAGATATATGCGGCCTAGTTTACTGCGGGGATCCATGGGTGGACAGTCGAATATTTTGAAATAAATCCTGTTTTTGTCTAACCATAGCCATAGCTTTCCACATCAAGTTTTCTGATATGTTTATATGATACTTCCTCTTTGGTTCCATGGACATTTCAGTCTACCCCAAGTTCTCTAACAGGATAATATGTTACCCCTGGTCTTTGTTTCAGTGTTAAATTGATCGATGAACACTTGAATGGTTTCTTGTTCTTTATGCTAGAAAGGCAATTCAGGTAGTCATGATTTCACTTTTGTCTTAAAAGTGTTCCTGCATTTCAGTTGTGGCTGAGAACCTTTCATATGTAGCTTTTGAATCTTTACCTCGTTTTATTATATTGAAGTTTCATGCTACAACCTGTTAACAACATGCCAAATTTGTGCGATTATTTGTCTTTCCTAACAAAAAGTAACTGACTCTGTAAAGTTTCTGGTTAGAATATCAGATTTCTTGCCAACTTCATCACGGAGGCTGGCATTATCATTAAGCGGAGCAAGGTAAAATTAACCTAGAGAATTTACTTATAAGTGGAGAAGACTGATTTTTTATTTTTTTATTTATACTTTCGTATTAACTCTTTCCCTTGTTTTAGACTGGAATCAGTGCTAAGGCCCAGAGGAAGATTACTCGTGAGATCAAGACTGCTCGTGCATTTGGTCTAATGCCTTTCACCACAATGGGAACGAAACAGTTCGTATATGGCAAAACAATGGAAGATCTTGATGAAGATCATTCATACGAGACTTATGATCGCAATTTTGAAGAGGATGAAGTAGAGATTTGAACAGCCTGTTTGTTTTGATTATCATTCTCTACGAAGACAAGAGCTGCAATTTTTTGGCACATTCTAGTAATAAATTTCCATACAATTCATTCTACACTCCCCGTTTGGCCCCCAATATATGAAATTTTAAATGTTGGAAGAATGTGTGGTTTAAAAAGAAGAAAAATTTTAATATTATGTTTAATATTATTTCACTGAAGAATATGTGGTTGATAAGAAGAGAGAGAAAAATGAATATATTGCTTTTCCTGCTCGTGGGACTCGGTAATTCTCAAGGATATTCACTCGCCTTGGATGGTTGGATAGTGAATTTTGTCCTTATTTCTTGTAACCTTTTCATGCTGGAATATGCATGTATTGGAACTGGGATTTGTACCCTTTAGTTGATGGCATGAAATTTTCGAATTTGTTGAGTCCTTTGATAATGTAGGAAACAATTTTCTATTTTAATAAAATTATACTCAATATATAAATGATTTTCTATGTTCCTTTTTTATCAAGCAGTGTTTCTGGGTCAGTTGGATATGAATACTGTTCTGTTTCTTGATTTTGATTTTTGCATATGGATTCCAATTTGAGCAAATCTGGTCCATGTTTGACTCTCTTTAAATTAAAACTATTTATTTCCGTTACTTATTTTAATCATAGTTTCACACAATCGATATTCTACATGTAAACTTAAAATTTTTCCATACTTTTTAATTACACATTCTTAAAAAAAAAAAATTACTATTTAAAACATTATGTCCTAGTTAGGCCGTCATTCTTTTTCTCTTTCTTATTTTCAACCACATAATCTTTCATAAAATAATATTAAACGTAAATAAAAAAATTTCATTCTTTTTCAACCACACATTTTTTCAAAAAAACACTGTTCCAACCGTTAAAATTTGGAAATAATGGGGCCAAACGGGGGCTATGTTTCCCTAATTTATCTTTATAATGGCCATTAAACGGGCTTAAATAAGAAAAACAATGGTAATCCTCTTTATATTTGGAGCTTTTATCCAAACTTTGATAAAATTAGCATTGTTTGTGTGAAAATGTTAAACAAATTTAAAACCAATGTTCGGTATTTTATTTTTTATTTTTTTTATCGGTAAATGTGAATTACTGCAATTATTTGAACCCTCCATTAACGTAACAAATAAATTTCATTGAAAGAGTATCCCGATTTTTCCCATTATCACTCAATTTCAAGACTTGATACTCGTTCATACAAACAAGTTTCATTGGAAATTTTAGGTGTTCAACCTGGACAAATTGTGCATTTATATATTGCGTTGGCTGTATTTTATGGCACGCAATTTAGAAAGAGCACAGGTTTAAAAATGCTCAATTCCTTGGTGACGAAGGGTATCAGATGCTGGTATTGCTCGTGTGCTCTTCAAATATAGAGTTAGGGACCAAATGGTGGTTCTTAGAACCAGGCTATTTTCCCGCCCATTTACCGTTAAAATCGCCACCCACAAATACTGCCACCAAACCCTGATAGATCAATTTTTGTTCCTCTTGAGAAAATGCAAATCCACTCTAACAGTCCAACAAATACATGCCCAAATGCTTATTCACTCCATTCAAAAACCCAATTTCTTGCTCTCCAAGCTCATTCTCATCAAAGACTTTGATTACTCTACTCTCTTCTTCTCTCAAATTCCCAATGTTAATGACTACGCTTTCAATATCATGATCCGGGGCCTTACCACTACATGGCAAAAATTCAATCTTGCATTGGAATATTATGGAAAGATGAAATCTTTAGGTGTAAAGCCCGACAATTTCACGTACCCTTTTGTGTTCATATCTTGCGGAAATCTTTTGGCCTTGAAAATGGGTAGACTGACCCATTGCGAGGTGGTGAAAAATGGGTTGTTCGCTGATTTTCATGTGGTTCATTCATTGATGACGATGTATTCACGGTGTGGCCAGGTGGGTTTTGCACGCAAACTGTTTGATGAAATGGATGAGAGGGATATGGTGTCATGGAACTCGATGATCTCGGGGTATTCCAGGATGGGGTTTGCTAGGGAGGCGGTGGAATTGTTTGCGGAGATGAGGGAGAAAGGATGGAAGCCTGGTGAGATGACGCTTGTTAGCGTGCTTGGGGCATGTTGTGACTTGGGGGATTTGAATTTGGGAAGGTGGATTGAGGAGTATGTCATGGTGAAGGGGATGGAATTGAACACTTATATTGGATCTGCTTTGATTGATATGTATGGAAAGTGTGGGGACTTGTTGTCAGCTAGGAGGGTGTTTGATGGCATGAGAAAGAAAGACGTAATTACTTGGAATGCCATGATTACTGGGTTAGTGTTTGTCTTCCTATCTTACTTCCTGTTCTTATTTGTTACAATTTTCAGTTGCATTTACTTCGAGTCTGAAACCACAAGGGTTGCTGTTTTCTTGATTTTTCCTTTTCCGTATGTAGCTTATAAACTTTCATATAAAACAGATATGCACAAAATGGATTATCAGATGAAGCAATTTCATTATTCAATGCCATGAAGGAGGCAGGGACTGACCCTAATGAAGTCACTTTGATTGAAGTTCTCTCTGCATGTGCATCAATTGGTGCTCTGGAATTTGGGAAATGGATTGATGAATACGCATCAAAAAGAGGTTTTCAGAATGATGTTTACGTTGCTACTGCATTAGTTGACATGTATGCTAAGTGCGGGAATTTGGATAGTGCATTTCGGGTTTTTGAGAACCTGCCTCGAAAAAATGAGGTATCTTGGAATGCAATGATCTCTGCACTTGCTTTTCATGGGCGAGCACAAGAAGCCCTATCACTGTTTCAGCGCATGTCGCAGGAGGGTGGCACTGCTCGTCCAAATGATATCACATTTGTTGGACTACTGTCTGCATGTGTTCATGTTGGATTGGTAGATGAAGGTCGTCGATTGTTTGATTTAATGAGCTCATCTTTTGGACTGGTTCCGAAAATTGAGCATTATTCTTGCATGGTGGATCTTCTGTCTCGTGCTGGACGGGTTTATGAAGCATGGGACTTCATTCAAAAAATGCCAGAAAAGCCAGACGAGATTTTATTAGGTGCATTGCTTGGTGCCTGTCATAAACTCAAGAATGTAGACATTGGCGAGCGGGTCATGCATCTTCTTCTTGAGATCGAGCCTTCAAACTCTGGTAACTATGTGATATCATCAAGGATATATGCAAATATGAGAAGGTGGGATGATTCCGCAAGAATGAGGGTTTTAATGAAACAGAAGGGAGTTGTCAAAACTCCAGGGTGTAGTTGGATTGATCTAGATGGCCAACTCCGTGAATTTCATGCCGGTGACTTGGTATTTGAAGATGCACAAGATATTTATCGAGTTCTTGGCATCCTCTATGACGACATGACAATGGAAGTTTACATTGTAGACATTGATCTCCTATAAAAATGTATGGTCGACAGTTTCTTGCATTTGATCAAATTTATCAATAGCTAACATGCTCGTACACAAAGTTGGCACGTCTGGCAAGATGAATTAGATAGCAATGGCCACTAGCAAGAAGGATCTCTACTCTCTACTTCAATGTCTCAAGCCACTCGTAGATGGTGAACCGATTTCTATTTGCCAACGAGGTTTGTAAGGTTAGCAAAAGTTTTGTGTACTTCTTGCTATTTGATTCCTCGAGCAGCCTTATTTGATTGTTGATGGTGTATTGTTCGGATTTTCTGATCATGCAGGCGATTGAGTGACTCGAATGAGAGAGAGATCATTGAACCTGTTTATGGAATTACACGGCACAAGATCAGAAACACACAAAGGGATATGAAGTCGTGCTAATAAGGTCGAGGGAATAAGTGAACAATATCATTTTACTCCACATGGTCCGACGTAGGTAACTGGCAGTCGAACAATCTCTTTACTGTAATTTGTTTAATATTAAAAACCTCTTACGATACAAAAAATTGTACATGTAATTACATTTTACTTGTACAATGTTCTACCTATTCTCTCAGGAACAGCACTCCTCTACAACAAGAGTTTCTCACTCAATTCTCTATGCATTTTCTCTAACTAAAACATTACTGTGAACCTAAGTACTGAATACACAATCCAGTACACATTTGGCTGTCCTAATCGTCATTCATTTTCTTCTTTGTTCTTCCAGTTGCTCCAGCTGTCACACAAGGCTGACCAAACTGTTATCACTTTCATCCATGAATTTCTTTGAGTTAGACTTATAACTCAAAATATGCCCGTCTTTCCCAAGGAGAGGAGCCACATCGTGATCCTTTCCCGGCTTTTTCCTTCCCAAATCGTCAAAAGGTTTGCATCGATGAAGAATATGCAAAGTATCTTTCATGGAAGGCCTAGCATAAGGCGATGAACTGGTGCACTTGAGCCCCAACTTGAAAACAGTCATCATTTCTTCCAAGTAGCGTGGTTCTTTAATCTCTTTGTCAAGGGCATCGACTATTGGTTTTTCTTCTGCATAAAGCTTCCATGCCCATTCGGCAAGGCTTGTATGCTCTTCCCCAGAGTTCGGTTCTCGTCCAGTCACCAGTTCTAAAAGCACGACTCCAAAACTATAAACATCAATTTTCTCGTCCACTTTAGTAGTGTAAGCATACTCTGCAGTTAGAAGGAACATGGTTAGCTATTTGGTCTAAAAGAGCAAAATATGGTAAGTGCAAATTATTAGAAATATTTTCCTTCTTAGTATTGTGTAGTATAGTGAATCCTCCCTACTAAACATGCTACAAGTGCGCGGTGAAGTATTCTTACCCGGGGCAATATAACCGAAGGAGCCAGCAATGGCAGACATGGTATTAGGTTCCCCTTTCTTGATCAAAATCTTGGCAAGGCCAAAATCGGCAATTTTTGCCTCAAAATCCGCATCCAACAAAATGTTGCTCGATTTCACATCACGATGAATGATTGGCGGATTGCAATCGTGATGCATATAGCAAAGCCCTTGTGCTGCTCCAATGGCTACGCGTAACCTTGCTGGCCAATGCAAAACAATATCATGAACCAAAGTCGTTGGACTTAAAGCTTTCTTCCTCTTCCCATGGAGCCATCTATCAAGACTCTGGTTTTCCATGTACTCGTATACAAGAAGCTTTGAATCATCACCCGAAATACAACACAGAAGTTTCACTATATTGGAATGTCGCACCGAACCAAGTATTTCAATCTCAGCGAGAAATTCTTTCTCGATGTCATAATCTAACATCCTTTCACTCCGAATCCTCTTTACAGCAACATACCGACCTTCATGATCAACGGCAATTTTGTAAACCTTACCCGAGCCGCCACTCCCAATCATATTACTTTCTGTCAAACTCGACAAAATATTAACTTCGGTGAAATCTAGCTTCTGGAACGAGGTCAATTTCCACTTTGCAAGATCCCGTCTAAGCTTCTTCCTACTATAGTCTCTAACCATGAATAAAGTCACGAAAATGGTAATTAGAAAAAGACTCACGGCGAGGACTAGAACCACAGAGAGAATACTCGGTGACAATTTCTTGGTGTCCTGGAATTTGGCATTGCATTTGGGAAGATTTGAGATAGAATTGGCTGCACAAAGTCTAGGATTGTTTAAGAAACTATTTCCATAGGCCATGTTATCGAATTCGTCTGGTATTTGCCCTGTGAGTTGGTTTGAAGACAAGTTAAGAGAAGTGAGCTTCAAATGGCCTAATTGAGATGGGATTTCACCCGAAAAATGATTCTGCGATAAGTCTAGATCAAGAAGATCGGGTAATGAACCTAAGACCGGGGAAATTGGACCGGAGAGTTTATTTCGAGAGAGATTCAATTTAGTAAGTGATTTCCAGGATATAATTTTGGATGGAAGTGCACCAGAAAGTGAATTTCCATCTAATTCTAGAGTGATAAGCTGATGAAGGCTAGTAAGCTCAACAGGAAGTGGCCCTGAAAACATATTGTTACTAGCTTCAAACACGATCAAACTTGCCCAAAATGAAACTCCAACAGGAATTTGACCGGAAAATTTGTTGTTATCGATCTCCAATCGGGTCAAATTCCACGCTATTCGATCCGGGAGCTGACCGGAGAAAGAGTTATCACTCAGCATCAAGCTAGTTATGTTCAATACAGTCCAAAGGCCTAATGGAACCTCACCGGAAAAATTATTTCCATAGAGTTGCACAGTGCGTAAAGTCTGGCAATTCCCAAGTGATTTTGGGATCTCTCCGGTTAAATTGTTGTTAAAAGCAACGACGCCGAAAAAAGTTCCCCCGGCACACAAATTCTCTGGCAAGTTTCCGGTGAATTGATTATCAGAAACTTCGAATGCTTCAAGCTTCGAGTGAAGGCCTATTTCACGGGGCAAACCTCCACTCAATTTATTCTTGAAAACCCGGAAATTCTTCAAGCTTGGGATTAGGCCTATGCTTTGTGGGATCTCTCCATACAACTGATTTGAATACAGATTCAACAACTCCAATTTTTTCAACTTCCCAAAATCTTCTGGAATTGTTCCGTTCAAGTTGTTCATGGCAAGATCAATCTCAAACAGATTTAACGATTCTATCGGCGATGGAATTGGACCGGAGAACTGGTTCTTATACAAGTAAACCTTACTCAAATTCTTTAACAACAACAGCCCACTTGGAATTTCCCCTTGCATATGATTTGATGATAAATCCAAATGCTCAAGGCTGGAAAAATTGGCAAAACTTACCGGAATTTCGCCTATCAAGTTCGCCCCTGTCCACCAAATATACTTGATTTTCGTCAATTTCCCGAACTCCGGCGGTATGGCCGCCGGCAAGAAGTCATTATAAGCCATTCCCAGATTCTCAAGGTCCACCAATTTGGAAATCTCTGCCGGAAATGTACCATTGAAGAAGTTATTGTACAAGTACAAACTTCTTAGCTCAGTCAAGTTTCCGATGGCCGGAGGTACATCGCCGGTTAAGTTGTTGGAGCTGATATCAAAGTACTGGAGTGACGAGAGCCGATCTATATCCGTCGGAAGGGTGCCGACAAAGCCATTTTGAGAGAGGTCTAAATATTGAAGCTTTGAGCAGTTGAATAATACAGTAGGGAAGTTTCCAGGGATTAAATTGTAGGCAAGTTCAAGGTCTGTGAGATTCTTGAGGTCACAAATAAAACCTGGGATTTCTCCGGTGATGTTGTAATCTTGGGCGATAATTCCGGTGACGGAGCCATCGCCGGAGCATCGGATCTCCGGCCAATCGCACGGCGGGGAGGTGGAGTTCCAGGAATTGAGCATTGGTGGATTGCCCCATTTTTGTTTCAGGTTGAGTAGGGTGGTTCTTTCGGCCGGTGAGAATTGTGAATTTACCAAAACAGAAATGAAGCAGACCAGAAAAATGAGAAAGGGTAGTTGGATTTTGTGGTAGAGTAAGGGCAGTTCTGTCATTTGATTTGTTTCCCGGTGGCCAAGTGTGGTGGTTTAGTGTTATGGTGCTGTGGTGGAGGTGTTTAGGATGACAAGGAGTGTGTGTGAAAGAGTGATAAATCCTGGCTTAAAAATAAAAATAATCCCACTGAGCAACAAAAGGATGACGTAAGAGAATGACGCAAAATATCTTTAAAATTATTTTTTGTAGTAAATTAATTAAGTAATATTTGACAGAATTGTAACTAAATTAGAAGAAAGTTGAAAACTTCAATGAAGAGTTTGAAATAAAAGAAAGGGTATTAAAATAAAACTTTTCTTAAAGTCGAGTTACCCCTAATGTTTTCTAGCCAAACAATTTCCTTCCAATTTTAACAAAGATTTACATGATTTTCGCGTTGGAGGGTGATATGCATTTATAACAGAAAGTTGGAGTTTTTACTGAATTGTAACCAATTTAGGAGCGAATTGAAACTTCAACGAGGATGAAATAACAAAAAGGTAATTAAATGAAACTTTGCTCAAAGTCGAGCGACCTCTAATGTTTCCTAGCCAAACAATTTCCGTCCAAGCTTAAAAGTATATATTATTTGAGTAATACTCCTATTTAGCCTCACCGAGATTGAAACTTCAGTCTAGATGACATTAATTGATAAATAAAATTAAATAATTCATTTAATTTTATCTTTCATTTAACCTATTATCTAATACTACCTAAACTGGGATTTGATAGCATTACTCTTATTATTTTGTTAGACATACAAAAAAATTGGATAGTGTAGTTGAGAAAAAGCATTAAAAGAGGCAAGAAAAGTCAACGGAGAGTTGTGCTTTTACACGGTTTAGACTAAAACCAAAAATTAATTATTTCACTTGGGTCCCATTACCATGCTTCACGGTTCTTTCTGTTACAGAGTGGGGTAGCGCAAAATACACGCTTCCATCTAGAAGTACTTTGACTAATCAACGAAAATAAAGAATTTGTGGAAAATATTAAAATCTTTGAAATTATTCACTCACAATTTGTCTTCTTTCTAGTAACACACACACGTGTATGTATGTGTGTGTGTGTGTATATATATATATATGCACTATTAAAGCCAAATGGCTTTCAAATACAGTTAAGGTTACCAGCATGATTGGACTCTCAAACAATTTCTTATTGGTCGATTGGACATTTTAATCGAGAATCATATACATAGATTTCTGTTTAGTACTGGTTAGGCTACCTAGTGTAATTTTATTTATTTTTTAAATATAAAATCATTTTCATTTTTCAAATTCTATTCGTTTTCAAGTTCAATTTAACATGGACCTTTACTTTGATTTTCGCATAAACTTGCATGTTAAAAAATGATCTTTAATGTGAGTACTCGATTGTAAATTTCAGGGTTTCCGGTTTCATGGGATTAGTTGAGATGCCCATAAGTTGGTCCGATCATCCACGGTCAAACTTTGCTTTCGTTTTCTCACAAATTAATAATAATAATTATATATATATATATAATTACAAATTTGGAGGGATCCACAAATATTATTCGCTTATTTACCGCTCAATTTAACATTTTATTTCTATTTGAATATGTACACAGAAGTATTTGCCTTTTTGTTGGACAAAGTTGAAAAGCCAAGACAAACAATTAGGCAGTAGCATAGG